TTGCGGCTTAGGGTTGGTTGTAACTCCTTGGCTCAAACGTGTGGAATTCGTGGAGGGTTGAAACCTCCAATTTCGAAGTTGTCGTTCCACTTTACTTGCCATATGCACCAAATCTTCAAGTTCAAGGAAAGGTTGTATCTCCACCACGTTCTTGATCTCTTGATTGAGACCATACAGAAAACTAGCTATGGTAGCCTCGCGGTCCTCTCTCACATAAGCACGTATCATCAACACTTCCAACTCCTTGTGATAATCTTCAACGCTTTTAGTTCCTTGTCGTAGAAGTTGGAGGTTTTGATACATATCTCGCAAATGGGAACTCGGTACAAACTGATCCCTCATAATTCCTTTCATCTCATCTCACGTCTCAATAGGACGATGCCTGTTTCTCCTTCGTTTCGTTCCCAACTGATCCCACCAAACAAGTGCATAATTAGAGAACTCTAGGGCAGCCAATGTCACTTTCTTCTTCTCGGAGTAGTTATGACAAGTTCCATCTTTCGCTCCCAATCCAAATAAGCATCAGGGTTCGTGGTTTCGCGAAAAGGTGGAATCGTGACCTTGAGGTTTCGCAAATCATCCTCCTCCTCAAAGCCCTCTTCTTCCTCGTCATTAAACTCCTCTTCATGATGCTGCTGCCGCCCTCTCCTTTCAGCTCTAGGCATTCCAAGGCGTCTATGTTGGCGCATATGACGCTGTACTTCATGAACCAAGGGTGGAGGAGCTCGGTTTTCCTTTCCCCTTTCTTCTTGTCGAGGTCTAGGGTTGGGTTTGCATCGACCACAACCGGCTGCTGGAGCCTTGTCTTGACAGCCTCCATCCTTGTGGCTTTCTCGGCAAGCCTTGTCGTTTGCTCTTCTTGAGCACGAGCAATGTTCTCCAATTGATTTCTGATCGCTTTGAGTGCTGCTTCCATGTTTGCGATGCAAGAAAACTCAAAGAACACAAGAACTTAACAAGAACTCGCACAACCTGCTTCTTGCCTCGCAGGAAACACCAAGAACTCCCAAGAACAAACAACCTCCTGTCTTGCGGCTCAAGAACACGCCAAGACATTCAAGAACTCGCACAAAACCACCAAGAACACGAACAAGAACACACAAGATCTTCAAAAAACTTCAGGAACACGTCACTGATTTAAACCTTAGCTCTGATACCACTTGATATAATCAAAGTAGCGCAGGGTCAAGCTTCTCGAACCAAACAGAACCAGATAGGATGGAAATCGATCGGACAGTACTCACCCGTCAATAAGGGCAATCGATATATGAATCGATCGGACAGATTCAACTCGGAATAAAGGGCAATCGATATGGGTAGCTCGCCACAACTAGGGCTAATACCTAGCTGATAAGAGTCACTCTAGCACTCTGGAGATTCTCGGCAGAGGGCAAATTCCGCGTAGGGAACTCGGCAATAGCCTCTGAAATTCAATAATAATTGTCTAAGGGCAAACCAACGTGTTCAGCCCTTTAAATAGGCAAAGTACAACCCAAATCCGACTCCAACATGGAAAAACAATCATAAACCGACTTTAAAACATGGAAACTCGAAAATAGCCCAGAAACCCGTTAAGCCTGGACTCGTTAAGTAAACCCGTTAAGGCTGGACCCGTTAAGCAAACCCGTTAAGGCTGCTTCTTGCAATCTGCCTTCTCTTCAACACTTCCTCCTTCTTCCTCCACTCGAATCATCATATATGGCTTCCCTCGAAATAGCTCCACGTCCATGGCTCTAAAGTAGCTCTTCAAATATGTCGCAAGCTTCTCCTTCAACGTCCTTGCCTTAGCACGTATGACAGGCCCATTGATGTCCTCATCAGCCCCTCCTTCTTCAAAAGGATTTGTCCTCAAATCCGAATTGCCATCCAAATAAGGTGCAAGGTCAGAAACATTAAATGTTGCGCTTACTCCATACTCTCCTGGCAAGTCCATCTTGTAGGCGTTGCTTCCAATCTTCAAAACCACCTGGAAAGGACCATCACATCGGGGAATCAACTTTGATTTCCTCTGCTGGGGAAACCTCTCCTTCCTCAAATGCACCCAAACCCAGTCGCCAACTTCAAAGTGCCCCGGTTTCCTATTTTTGTTCACATTGCGCATGATCTGCTCCGTCCTTCTCTCAATGTTCAATCTCACCTTCTCATGTAAACCCTTCACGAACTCGGCTTTCTTGGCTCCATCGAGATTGACCCGCTCATTCTAAGGTAATGGCATCAAATCCAAAGGAGTGAGTGGATTGAAACCATACACGAGCTCAAACGGAGTGAGCTTCATTGTCGAGTGCACCATCCTGTTGTAAGCAAACTCCATGTGGGGAAGGCAGTCCTCCCAAACCTTGATGTTGCTCTTGATCACAGCTCGAAGCATATGGGATAATGTTCGATTGACCACCTTTGTTTGCCCATCGGTTTGAGGATGACATGTAGTAGAGAATAGCAGCTTCGTCCCCAGTTTGCTCCACAACGTCTTCCAGAAAAAACTCAGAAACTTAGTATCTCGGTCGGATACTATGGAACGCGGCATCCCATGTAATCGCACCACTTCCCTAAAAAACAAATCAGTCACGTTAATAGCATCATGCGTCTTATGACACGAGATAAAGTGTGCCATCTTCGAGAATCGATCGACCACCACAAAAATTGAATCTCGTCCCTTCCTTGTCCGCGGAAAACCAAGAACAAAATCCATAGAGATGTCGATCCATGAAGCATATGGAATCGGCAGTGGTGTGTACAATCCAGATGATTGCACCTTCGACGGCAGTGGTGTGTACAATCCAGATGATGTGCACAAATCAGTGTATGCCTTCGAGATAGGGCATCAGAAACTACATTTTCTTTGCCCTGCTTATACTTGATCACGTATGGAAAGGACTCAATGAACTCAACCCATCGAGCATGTCTCTTGTTCAACTTGCGTTGAGCTTTCAAATACTTCAACGATTCATGATCAATATGAATCACAAACTCCTTCTGCCATAGATAGTGTTTCCACGTCTCCAAGGCTCGAACAAGAGCATAGAGCTCCTTGTCGTACGTAGGATAGTTGAGGGCAGTCCCGCTCAACTTCTCGCTGAAGTATGCTATCGACTTATTCTCCTGCATCAACACTGCTCCAATTCCAAACTAGAAGCATCACACTCCACCTCGAATGTCTTATTGAAATCCGGCAACATCAGGATAGGTGCGTGTGTGAGCTTGTGCTTTAGCAACTCGAATGCTATGGTCTACTCCTCTCCCCAATACAACGTCACGTTCTTGTTGATGATGGATGTCAATGGTGCCGCAATGGTGCTGAAATTGGGCACAAATCGACGATAGAACCCAGCAAGCCCATGAATGCTCCGCACCTCATTCACGTTGATTAGAATAGGCCAATCGCGAATTGCTTTCACTTTCTCTTCATCCACCTTGACTCCATCTGCACTCGCCACAAAATCAAGAAAAATCACACTAGAAGTACAAAACGAGCACTTCTTGAGGTTAGCATACAATTTCTCCTTTCTCAACATCGCCAACACCTCTCTTAAGTGATTGAGATTATCCTTCATGCACTTCGAGTAGATCAGAATGTCGTCGAAGTATACGACCACGAACTTGCCAATGAATGGCCTCAAAACGTGGTTCATCAACCTCATGAACGTGCTAGGAGCATTGGTTAAACCAAAGGGCACCACCATCCATTCGTATAGACCCTGCTTGGTCTTAAACGCAGTCTTCCACTCGTCTCCCTCCTTCTTACGAATTTGGTGGTAATCTTATCTCAAATCAATTTTTGAAAACACCGTAGAGCCATGTAATTCATCAAGCATATCATCTAATCGTGGGATTGGATGACGATACTTAACTGTAATTTGATTGATGGCTCGGCAGTCTACACACATCTGCCAGGTGTGATCCTTCTTTGGCACGAGAATCACCGGAATTGCACACGGGCTCAAACTTTCTCGAACATGCCCCTTCTGCATGAGCTCGTCAATCTGCCTTTGCAGTTCTTTGGTCTCTTCCGGATTAGCTCGATATGCTGCCTTGTTTGGAATTTGAGCTCCCGGCACGAAATCAATCTGGTGCTCAATTCCACGAATAGGAGGCAGGCCCTTGATGCTTCCTCTGGAAACACATCCTCGAACTCATCCAACACGAATCTTGCTTCGGCTGGAATTTCTTGGACTGACTCTTGATTGAGTAGCACATCCCTGTACATGAGCACAATCAAAGGTTCTCGTGGACATGCAGCTTGCTTCAAATCTCCACTGCGTGCTAGCATCACTGCCTTCGAATCCACAATTCCATCTCCCTCTTCTCCTTTCCTGGCCGAGGCATTACTTGCCTTTTCTTGCTCTCGACGTTGCTGCATTTGGAGTTTATCTCGATATACTTCACTTGGAGACAGAGGCTTCAACACAAACTTCTGTCCTCCATGTTGTAACTTGTACTTATATGTCACTCCATCATGTTGTGCTTGTCGATCAAACTGCCATGGCCTGCCAAAAAGCACATGCGCAGCTTGCATAGGCACTATATCACACAAAATCTCAACTTTGTAATCTCTAATCTCGAACTTCATTAGTGCCTGTTTTGTGACTTTGATGGATCTGTGATCGTTAAGCCATTGCAGCGTGTATGGCTTTGGGTGCTTCAACGTAGCAGCCCTAGCCTCTTCACCGCACACGCGCTCACAACGTTCTTGCAACTTCCTCCATCGATCACTAGAGACAGCAACTTCCCATCAAATACACATCTCGTATGGAAGATATTTTCTCGTTGTTCACTCTCCTCCTTAGACTGCGCAGACAATACTCTCCGTGCTACAAACAAACTGCCTGGAGGTGGTTCCATTTCCATAGACTCATCTACATCAGAATCGGTGGTCTCTTCCTCTTCATCCGATACATACTCGCCATATCCAGTCACTTGCTTGGGTAGATGGTTACATCCAAATTAATATTCTAAGTGAGAAAATGTAAAATGTATAAATAAAACTCATCCGACCAACAGATGGGTAGAAAACTAGTATATATTACATTAATTACACAAATGTAAATTAAATGTCAAATTAGGTTAGCCATCAAGGTCCGTACAAGGTCAAAAAGTGGGCAAGGGGGCCAACAAACTAGAAAGAATTATGTGATGTCTCTAGCCACTACTGCTCTCATTAGCAGAAATAGAGGGACCTTTAGATTTTACCACAACATAGTTTCCACTACTGATATCAAGCCCTTGGAGACGCCCAATTGGATCGTGTGGCAACATCTCTGAGAAACCAGGTCCATAATTAGGCCCAGAAGCAGCTACAGCATGCCCATGTGAAGCTGGCACATTATTAGTGGGCATGAAAGGATGATGATACTGTGGAACATGATTCATGTTGCTTATTACATGTCCAAGCTGCGGTTGGATTGGGAAGAAATTTGGTTGATGATGATTATTGTGAGGGAGATGGTTCACTCCATTGTAGAAAGGATCCACTACTTGAGTCATTCTGTCTCCGGTTACAAGCTTCAGCCTCTCTACTTCCTTCCTCAATGCATCATTCACAGCTGCACCAAACACAAATTAAAAGTGTTATTACGAATTAATGGATACCTATGGGGTGAGAAGAACAACAATGTCACATCACTTTGAAAAATGTTATCATTTATGTTAGACCCCTCTGATCATAGTCTTGCAGCTTACCATCGTGCAATTGAGCCTGTTGTTCCATGGCTTGTAACCGAAGCTTGAGCTCTGTATTCTCGTTGGTTAGACCAGATGTACCTCTCTGGCAGGAGAAAACAAACATAAAAGAGCAACATCTTCATTTTAAAAGCATATACACATACACTTTGATATGAGCGACTGTTAATAAAAAGGAAGTACTAGACACAATGGAGTTGTGTAAGAGGACAAGCTGTTCTTCGGTTTAAACAAGAGTATTTCACCTGGAATAATGAGAGTTGGGTAGAAAGAGTAGTTGCATTTGTTTGAAAGGTATGCACTTTCCTTTCAAGTTCAAGTATATAACGAGCTTTCCTCTCTTTAGAACGTGCAGCGGATTGGCGATTCGCAATGATCCTGGACAATTGTGTTGAAGTTTTTCTTAAAATAAATCCAAATGAGACCCATTCCACCAATGTTTGAGTTCTATAGTTATTTGAATAAGGCCAACTATAGTAAAAAAAACTGCCCTAAACAATCAACTTTCAGCATGCATTTATATTGCTACAATATAGCTATCATATATGTTGCTTTACAGAATGTGTACCCAAAAATTACATCGTTGGACGCAATCCAGAATCTGCCACGAACAATCAACTTTACCATACAATCTTTTTACCTGTACATTTTGTTGATTGTAAGCGATAATGGACTCAAATATTGAAAAAAAGAGGACCACTTTTGAAAATTCTCCACAGATAAGGTTAACAAAAATGCTCCATTAATCCCTATAATCACGATTTTATCTGCTTATTTAAAAGTAGAAGAATATTTATCTTTTCTCCTAAAAGCATGACCATGATTTCATAGTATTGTGGGGTAATGTTAGAAAAGGAGGGGACGGAAAAAAGAGTGTATATACCTTTTGGCTCGTTTTGGATCCACATTCCACAATTCAGCAAGTTTATCAGGAGCCATAGCTTTCTTGGCCTCGATGGACTCTACAATGGAAGACCCATCAATGGAATTGCTTTGTCGATGCTTTCCTTTTAGACAAGAAGTCTTGTTACCTGCCTCGAGCCCGCCACTACTACTGTAAGAATTCAGATTCTCCCCATTTTCAGTTTTTCTATCAAAGGTAAGGGAGCCATGTGTGGCGTCAAGGCTCCCCTTGTCCATGTAGGTGTAGAAGAGATCATCTTCGGATCCAAGGTCGTCAAATGAGGTAGCAGAAGCGGGGTCATCGACGATGAGGGCGAGATCCAAGTCTTGAGGAATGCAAAATTGGACCTCCGAGATTGCTCGTCGGTGCAAGGACTTTCGTTGGGGATGATTGTTGTCAGCATTGGGCGACAACGTCGAGTCTAGATGATTTGGGTTTCGATCTTGCATTTTTTTATGGAAATAATTGCATTTTATAGGGGAGGTTTTTGTTTATAATGGAAAATTCAGCGTCGGTGGGGTTTTGTTGTTTATTTTTCTTTTTTTTTTTCGACGTGGTCATCCTCTTCCTCGGCTTTCATGTTCATTCATCATATAGGTTTTTCAGGAAACAGAAGGAAAGCCTCCTTCTTCGCTTTTTCCAGCCATTATAGTGGTCTCTTAGCTTTTTGTCCCTTGTCTCTTTCCTTATCTGGATACGCTACCGAGAGATGGATTTTGGGTGGCCTCGACAAAATAAAGTTTCGGTTTGGATGTTTATTTGGTCCATATATATAGCGTTAACTCTTCAACTTTACAATGGAAATCAATGTTTGGTTCCACATATAGTAAACCATCCCTCAGGCCGATTCTAAGGGCCCACCGACAAGAGAAGATACAAAACTTACTGGTTTTATGGGCGTTTGGGTTAGGATTTTTGTGAGGAATTTCAGCACAATCTCTTACATTGAGCGTTTTCACCGAAATTTCTCCTTTAAGAATGAAAAACACTAGGGATTTAAAGTATGACTAATTTCGAAAACCTCATATGTAGGATTTTGAAATAGCTAAACCCCCTTTCAATTTCAAAAATCTCTCATTATTTTATTTTATTTCTGTCAAATATGTAAAATGGAAGAGACTAGACAGTGTTTACGTGGTATCCCCGTTGGTACGGGGCTTGTCCACGGGAGAGGAATGCCTCTCCGCGTTTAGGTTTTTTTTATCTCTCTCGTGGACAAAATAGCAGTCCATTTCCACGTGCTTCTTACGTTCATGGAAGACCAAGTTACCGCAATGTGGAGAGCGGCCTGATTATCACTGAACAGTGGAGTGCAGGGTTTGAGGAACACCAAGCTCGTGTAGAAGCCAACGAAGTTAGATGCTCACTGACTGTACTTTCCATGGAACGGTACTCAACCTCAGTAGAGGATCTAACAACGATGCGTTGCTTCTTTGTGTGCCAAGAGACAGGGGCCCCGGAAAGAGTAATGAAGTATCTAATGGTTGACCGTCGAGTACGCTTACACCCACCCCAATCTGTGTCACAATAAGCAGTAAGAGTGAGTTGATTAGCAGTAGGGAAAAAGAGACTCTGACCGGGAGCAGACTTCAAGTAGCGAAGGACACGATGCGCCGCATCCAGGTGGCGCTGACTAGGAGTTGTGACAAACTGACTAAGGACGTTGACCACATAGGTGATGTCCGGACGCGTGACCATCAAGTAAAGGAGACGACCGACCAACCGACAATAAGAAGATGGGTCGGCAAGAGTGTCATCCGGGACATGAGTCAAGTGATGGTTTTGTTCCACCGGGAAAGTGCACGGTCAGGTAGCTTCCATGTCAGCATCTTTCAAGATGTCCAAAGTGTACTTCCGCTGATTGAGGATGACACCATCTTTGGTGCAGACAATCTCAATGCCCAAAAAATAACGCAAGGGGCCTAGATCTTTGATGGTGAACTGCCGATCTAGGGATGCCTTGACTGTGTTCATGAAAGCCAAATCATTGCCAGTGAGAAGGACGTCATCCACGTAGACTAATGCCACGACAAACACACTCCCCCGCTGGTAGATAAACAAGGAGTGATCAGCTAGGGAGGATCGAAATCCCAATGAAACGAGGGCCTCGGTGAATTTTTTATACCAGTTCCTTGAAGCCCGACGGAGACCATAGAGAGATTTGTGTAGATGAAAGATTCGGGTATCACCTGGACTTGCAAACCCCGGAGGAATCTGCATATAGACTTATTCTTCGAGATCGTCGTGGAGGAAAGCATTGTTGACGTCTAACTGGCGAAGGTGCCAACCGTGGCAGACGGCGACTGCGATGAGGCAGCGGACAGTGACTAACTTTGCCACCGGTGTGAAAGTGTCATTGAAGTCGAGAAATTCGATCTGGGTATAGCCTTTGCCGATGAGGCATGCCTTGTAGCGCTCGATAGTCCTGTTCGGGAAGAACTTGATCTTATAAACCACTTTACCGGGATGGCTCACTTGCTGCGAGGAAACACCACATGACTTCATGTCCCATTTCGCTCCAAGGCTGAAATTTCTTGTGCCATAAAAACGCGCCACCAAGGGTCCTTGAAGGCTTCACGGAATGACCGCGGTTCATCATTAGATGTGACCGCTACCAAAAAAGTAAGAAAGTTAGGGGTGGCACCTGAATAAGAAGCACAAGAAGCCAATGGGTATTTGACGGAATGACTTCCCTGAGAAGAATGCCGAATAGAGGGACTAGTATCATATCTCCAATAACTTGGGGGAAACTCGCACGCGATCGCCACGACGCGATGCGGCAGGCGCGGCAGGAGCATCGTTTGCGCGGGGGGTGACGGTGTACATCATCACAATGTCTACTACAAAGTTTCATATTCTCCTTGAGATCAACAAGGTGTATATATAGTCTTGAAGTGATCGAGAGTTGAGCATGGTATTGTATCTCACCTTTAAAGATTAAAATTTAGAGCATAATTCTATAAATATCATAAACTAAGATCTCTTTAATTATAAAACTTAAATATTTAAATGTAGGGTTTGATTCTATATTTACACCTTGAAGTGACTAGAGTTGGGATATGGTACTGTACCCTGACTCTTAAAAATCAAAATATAGAGCTTGATTCTATAAATCTCATAAATTAAGAGAGATTTGATTATAAACAACAAACGATGGTCATGATTCACCAAAATATACGCAACAAATTACATGCACCATTTTGGAGTTTAAGGTATATGATTTAGATTAACAATACTTAGTGTTCACTCATCAAAGGTTATGGTATGTACTATCATGCCCTAAAATCCAGTTAATTCAAAGTCTAGATATCATTTTCTTACTCAAGATAATACTATACTGTTTATTTTTCTCAAGGTACGATAGAAGTCATTATTTATATATATATATATATATATATATATATATATATGGTTAAGGCTAGCGTACGCTTACTTACCATACACCCGTTGAGTTTTGTTATTTAGACAATTAATTCACTTGATTTTGGGCATGATACTTTACCCTAATCACTAATGCATGAACCCCATTCATCAATTCACTAACTCAAAGTATAAGATTCGTTTAATCTTGAAATGAAAATCAACAATTCTCATTCGGCGAAATTATCGATAATTTTTATCTTAAGTTTAATCGAAACTCATGGTTTGGGTAAGAAAATTAGGGACTGGGGTTCACCCATTAGAGGTTATGCAATAGGATCATACCACAAACTCTGGTTAATTCATGTATATATATGGTTCAGGATAGCATATGCAGGCATCACTAACCTTACCATACATCCTTCGAGTTTTGTTATTTAGACCATTAATTCACTGTGTTTGGGATATGATATTATACCCCAACCTTTAATGGTTTTTATTGTCTCCCTTACACATTCTCAAATAGCAAACTGATTTTAGATAAATCCTTCAACAGATTCAATAAGCACTCTGCTGATTGCCACAACATGTGAGACACTCTTTTTAACATTCAAAACACATTGAAAAATGGAGCAACTTTTGCAAAATGTTTTCGAGTCCACAAGGGTAGAGAGTCACCACAAAAACGTCCTTGCATCACTAGTCAACAGTATCACCCAACAAAAGGGGTGAAGTGGAGTTTAGATTTCTCATGTACCAACACCCTCCATAGCGCTACTTTATCCTCCCTAGAACGCACACCATCATGACATCTAAGAATTAAAGCACAACGAGTAGCACAAAGCATGGGATAAGGTGTTTCGGACTCTAAAATTTGGAAATTTTGGCATACAATACTAGGTTATAAAACACTATCAATGAAGGCTAAAGCAATTCATTCATCCACATGTGCTTGGAGCCCTCTAATTTTTTTAATTTGGCCATTCAACTAGGCTTCAAGCATTCAATAGATAGTCTAAAATTCATTCACACACTGGAACACTCCCCCCCCCCCCCCCACACGCACTTAAGAAAGACATTGTCATCAATGGAGGAAAGATAAGGAGGGTAGAACAAATTTACCGGATTCGGTGTGAAGGATGGTGGACGGACAAGAAGACGGGCAAGATTTCGTGGAGCAACTCAACAATCAAAACACCACAAGCTCCCAAAGTTTGATTTATTGAAGAGAAAAGAAATGCAAACTGATGGGCTAGATTGTCTCCCAACAGGCTCCTTTTATTTCATGAGTCGAAAAGGGCTCTTAAGTCTCGATCCACCACAAAAACTCCTTGAAGTTGAGGTTCTTGTTGTTGATGTAGAGGCTCAAGTCATGATCATTTGAATTGGCAAGTGATGATAATGCCTTGTGGACTTGATGAGAATTGAGGCTCCGACCATGAGACCTCTTCTTCTTTCATTCTTTCTTCTCTTTTCCCCACATCATGTAAGAAACTACGGATTGACCACCATCGCATCCAACAAGCAAGATCAATGATGGTGTGGCCTTGGCTTGGTAAAGAGATGCCGCAAACGTGTCCTTCTCGAGAATTGCATCAAGGTCGGTTGGAAAGCTTTAGTGGCAATTCTAACTTGTATGAGCTTCATCCACCCCGACCTCGTCCATTGATCGGACACCACTTGCATCCTCAACCTCCCTTCCTTCTTACATAATTTTATCCTCCCCTTGGGAATAATCAAGAGTTTCCTCCTCAGTGCTCAATTCTTCCTCCTCGACCTCTTCTCTCACCTTCCCATCCTTGTCTTCAAGAACAAACTGGAGGGAAATTTGCCATGCAATGTTATTGATAAGGTCATCTTGCTCCTCCACCCTTGCGACTTGCTCCTCGGTTCTTCTCGTGGGACTTGTGATTCTTGTAATCAAGGGGTTTCTTCATTGTTGAGGGATAAGAGGAATAAACCCCTTATCCTTGGTTGGATCGTCTCCTAAGAGAAAATTCATTGAACATGTCTAAACAAACCATTAGGAAACTCACTTGATCTATTGAAACAACAAAATTCATCCTTAGGTTTACTCTATCCTTAAGTGTTACTATGTAGAAACTAGAGGTGCATAGATAAATGCATGTTAAAATGACTAGGATCATGTCTTTCTAGAGATTTATGTACCCCAACTGAAGGCTAGAATCAACTAGTTAGACAACAACCAAGATTTGAACTCACGACTCTAAAAGCATATCAAAGCACAAAATCAAATGTGAGCCAAAGTTGCAAACTCAAGGATCATGCATCAAGGATTCAATCTCAAGTCATAAACACACTCCCAAGTGTTTAACGTAATCAATGGAGTTCAATTGAAAAGCAATGGATCAAGAAAACAAGTTTTATGTGGTTTGGGCATTTCATCAAGCATTTGGTGGGCAC